CTAAGAGAACTGAGAGAGCTGTTTCTAGAGAAACATACAGGAGTATCTTCAACATGAAATGATTTAGGTGCATAACCAGAAGTCTGTGGTCTATTTGATTCTAGCTGTGAATCAGAAGCCTCAGTTTGTTTTGCAGGTTCACTTTCTTTGTTGTTGTCTTCTTGATTAATATCACTGAGGGAACTAAGAGATGAATTCTGAGAAAAACATACAGGTGTGTTTTCGATAGCAAAATTCTGCATTTTCTCATCTGTAGCTGCTCCTCTGTCTGGAATATCTTTAGTTGACTGAGAGAAAGTTTTAGGTTGGCTTCTGCCTGTTGGGTATTTTTGACAAACTTGTGTCCTATTACTTGGTTGCTGTTTTGAAGACTGTTCTGTACTAGTGCAGTCTTCAGTTTCTCTTTCCTTTGCTTTTCCTTTTTGCAATTCTGCCTTCTCTCTTGAAAGGTTAACATCGTCATCATCAAAATCTAAAGAACTTAGAGAATCATTCCGTGAAAAACAATAAGGAGTTCCCTCAATAGGTGTGTAATGATGAGGGGAATCAAATGCAAAGCTTCCTTTTACACGCTCTTCATTATTTGGAAGTTTGTCATTAAAATATCTTGAATTATTTTTAAGATTCTGTTTCTTTGTGTCTATGTTCTCTGAATAGCTTCTTTCATTATTAATATAGCTTTTAGTCTCTGTGTTTTTTGTTATATGTGCTCTATATTCATTATTTTGGGGAATGGGCTTTACTGATGTTGGCCTCTTTTTGTCACATTCTGACTGATTTTTGTTACTTAAAGATGCTTGTTGAATTTGATCCATTATCTTCTTCACTCTGAAAGGTTTGTGACTTTTTCCTTTTGGCATAGCTGAGTTAATACATTCGGCCAGAATATCACCCTCTTCTGTTTTGACATCATCCAGTCCTGGGGCAATCCTAGTTGAGCTTTTTGCTCTCTCAGAGTCATCTGTACTTATACCTTCTGTAGGAATGGTGTCTCTCTTTTCAAACTCCTCTGACTCTGCCCTTGTACCCACATTCTTTACATCAGCCAACTCATTTGGTAGTGATTCTATTGTGAGGTCACTCAAAGATGTAGCTGTTGAAAAATTTATTGGTGTATCCTCAACAAAATATACCTGTGGCATATCATCTCCAGGTGTAAAACTCACACGCTTTTGGGATTGCAATCCAGTTTGTGAAGGCAAAAGTTTGTAAACTGGCAGTTGGCTTGGCTTTCTGGTTACAGGAGGAGGTATTTTTGAAGCAGATGCTTGAGAAGGCTTTTTGGCTTTACATGAAGATTTTGTTGGCATTGCAGAAATAATACATTCTTCCAATATTTCAATATCATCATCATCGGAATCATCCATAATGTCTTTTTCTGCTTCAGTAGACTTCTCTGCTTTCTTTTCTTGGTTATCCTTTGTATCATCTGGCTGTTCAGGTTCTGCTTCATTATCATGTTCATTTTCATGTACAGGAGGCATTATTCTTAACTCTACATCTTTCTGTATAAACGGTTCATCAAGACTCAGACCACTTAGGCTAGAAGAGCAAGAAAATCCATCTGGGGTACTTTCTGTGGCAAAATGTAATAATGTATCAGCATCTGGCAGTACCTGAACTCTTTGAACAACTTCATTTATAGCTACCTGTCTAGGACCAGACTCTCTCTTTTCTGCATTAGGTACTTTGCCTTTAGCTACTTCCCTCTTTACTTGAGCTCCTTGAGCAGGGGGTGGAGTCTTACTTCTGTTTGGAGGCGTTGTTTGTCCAGGGCTGTCTGGAAGATCACTGGGACTTATAATACCACTCACCATTCCACTGCAAGGCTCACTTTGAACTGAACTAGCAATTGAATGGCTTTCAAAACTATCCAGGGAACTTACAGAAGTACATCTGCTAAACATGAGTGGAGTCTCCTGCATGTAATGTTCTGGTGGACTTTTAGGAGTATGCGCACCACTCTTTGAGGGAGATTTGGCACCTGAAGAAAATTCAACAGCTTTATGTCTAGACGAGTCAGAAGGAGATAAACTAGGAGTCTGAAGTCTACTAGATTTTGTTCTGATGTGCTGAGATGCTAATGCAACTTCACTTACTGCACCTTCTGTAGACAGAATCCCATTGTTTTCCTTTAGTTTTGCTATTTGTAATGTGTTATTAGCATCTGTCACATGTGTGGACTGATCACGTCCTATTTCATCTTCAGCTGATGACAAAGATGACAAAGAGCTACACCTTGAAAAACATATTGGTGTATCTTCCACACAGTAAGTTTGTATAGTTTCCTGATTAATAGAGGGAGTCTTACAGGAGGCAGTCTTTTGAGCATTACTGCTTCTACTCTGTGCAGAACTTGGGTGAAGCTGATTCTGTCTCTCTGAACTACCTGAAGGGGTTGATATGTTCCCACAGCTTGAGGAAATATGGTCATTTTTAGTGCTTTGCACTGATGAACTGTTTGATAAAGTAAAAGATGGATTCTGAGAAGAGGGAGGAACTTCTGTTGAATATTTTAGACTATAATCAATAGGCTGATCAACATGATGTTCTTCTTCATTGTACTTTATGCTATAATTGGTTGGTCTGTCTTCTTCCTCTTTGTGTTGTTCCTCCTCAGAGTAGCGTTCGCTATAGTTGGTTGGCTTATCATTGTCATAATCATGAACCTGGCACAAGGACTGGTTTACTTTCTGATTCATTCCAAGAGTTGAGCCTACTCTGCTCTGCTCTGAACCACTGGATCCTCTTGATCTAAAAGAAGAAACACACCCTTGCTGTCCAAAAGGTGACTGATATTTCATGCACTTATCTCCACTTTCAGTGTACATGGAATAAGTTGCATTTTGGCTCCTTAACTGCCTTTGTTCATTTTGTTTTATTTCATCATCTGTTATATGCTTAGGCCTTGCCCATCTTTCATTCTGAGGGGGACTTTGCCTTCCAGAATTTAACTGTTCATCTGAATATTTAAGACTATAATTAATAGGAGTGTCTAGCTCTTCAACATTGTCATCCATATGATTTGCACTATGTATCTTATGTGCCAAGTCAGCTGGGTATTGACCATAACTACAAAATTTACTTTCATCATCTTCCGAGTAAGATTCAATGGAAGGTTTCATTTGGCCTCTTTTACCATAGCCATCACTGCTGCCGACACTATTTAAACTATCATTTGAAGCTCTCTTGTATTCCATTTTTGTATAAAGCTGAGGACATGTCCTGTTTGAATTTTCAGATTTGGGAAAGTATGTATTTGAGTGAGTATGGGCAGCAGCTGTTCTTCTTGGGACATTTCTGTCTTCTGTCAAACAGTGCATTTCAGAAGTGGAACAAGAACTTCTGTCTTCTTGTGGAATATGCATGCTTGTTACTTCCTCCATAACTTTGGCAATCTGAGCTGCAGCAGTAATTTGCATTCCTATTCTCTTAGAGGAGTTCCCAGTGTTCTCTGTAGCTGGATGATAGCTATTTAAACCTACTGCTCCATCCCTATAGAGACTTCTGTCTTTCTCAGATCGAGAGTTTTCTATATTTCCTCTACTAGAGGAAGAGGAGCCAGGCAATACTGTAGCATTTAAATATAGTGAAAGTACAGTCATATGACCAGTATTAAAACTCTCTGATCCACAAATCCCATCATCATGTCGACTGGAATCCAAAACATAATCATTGTATATATCTTGCTTATGTCTCTGCTTATTATGGTGAGATGCTTTTGGGCTTAAATTATCTATGTTTTCAAAAGTCTCTGATAAATGTTGAGCATCTAATTCTGCTTCCAGTGCCTTTTGTTTTCTAACATGAAGAGATGGTAAGCTTGATCCTGGAGACATAATGTTGGCATCCTTATATTTTGCTGGCCTATTTGCCATCAGGTTTCTTAGAGCTGCAGCACTGCCCATTGCTATCATTTTGTGTTTTGAGTGAATGAGATTTTTGAGCATGCTCACTGCTCCCATATCCCACAGTGCCTCCTGATCTTTTGCATTTCGTGCAGAAAGATTCCACAGGGTCCCACATGCATTACTGACTATTGTCAAACTATGTGACTTCAAATGCTGTAACAATGTTTGTAAGCAGTTGTTCTCTCGCAAGATTTGCCTGGTGTTGAGTGATTGAAAACAAAAATCAGTAAGTGCCATTTCAAAAGTATAAGAGACAAAGCAAAACAAAAACCTATTATGCTATAGACAAGTTTAATACATAGTAAGGATAATTATGAATTCTTCAGTGTAAATTTATCTTATTTTTTCCTCAAGTTTTCATCTGAATGTTAATCAAATCCTATATAAATATGAACAGTTTTCTCCCACACTAGCCTCTCCATATAAACTATTCCAGGTGGTTTCCTATGGCTGATAATAACTTATGAATTTCCTCTCTCTTTCCAGGAAAAGCTTTTAGTACAATTTATCATTTAACAAGCAGCAGATACATTAACCCTTTTGCATATTCCTGTTATCTAAATTAAATACTTGCCTTATCAAATCCATTAAAAAATGAATGCTTAATTACTATACTTAAAACATATTAAGACTTGGTCATACAAACTATTAAATATACTTTTGGTACCACTACTGATTCTCAGAAAAATAGAAAGTATATTCACCTGTGGTCCTCATTAGTAGCAATTAAGCTAGAAACATTTCTTAATATTCCTCCTCCACTTTCTATGATGGCTAAAGTGTTTGTTTGGCTCCGGTATGTCAGTGTGCCAACTAGAAATGCAAGAGCACCATCAACAGCACATATATCACCTTTGTTCTCAGTACAGTGTGCTGACAAATTCCATAATGCACTCAAAACGCTTTTTAGGGTGGATTCCTAGGAGAATAATAAAATGACAGAATTGAGAGTTTTCAACTATTGATCATAAACCCTCAGAAGTATGTAAGTTAGCTTCAAGGAGGTAGTGACAAACTTGTTTTTCTAGCTCTCATGGATGCAAAGATAGCTTTGGAAATGTGAACCAAGAATAACCTAAAGAAATAATTTCTGCTGAACATGTACACAGTCTAAAAATACAACTCAGAGACACAAACTGCCTCACTTATTCTAATCCAGATTTGCAAATAACAGAATTCATTAACTATGGAATTTAGCTTCTTTCCAGTTCACTGCAGAATTTGATTTTTGATTGGCATGAAATCTCTACTATGTCATATGTTGATGACCAATGTTTTGCTTTCTGTTTTACTGCATACGCCACTATTTCTCTAGCTTTTCTTCACAAATGAGAATTAAGTGTGTTTCAGGCTCTGATTTCTGCACTGATAAACTAGAGGCAAGCAGCAGTGCACACATAAGTGCTTTTGTTTGCTTCTCTCTCCTTTCCTCAGCTACGGATTTGCTATTGCTTGCCAGAAAGTTTCAGAAGTATGCACCACAATACTTGTCAGCTGCCATAACAGTAAAAAGTTTGTAGATTAGCTGGCAGGGGACACTGGGATGGAATATAATCCTGTTGGGATATCAAGTAGACATCTCTAGAATGACAAATTCACAAAATCAGAAGATGGTTTTATTAAAACTGCAAAATTATAAAAAATGCTATTGGAACAGCACAGCTCATGAAACTTATGACTGAAAGCTCTCAACCCTTTAAATAAAATTACAGAAACACTAGTAGTTCTCAGATGTCATTGCTACGTTGTGATCTGCTGCCCAGTTAACTCAAAGCAATTCTCTTCTTCAAAGGAAAGTACCTGAAACACCGCAAATATTTGACTAACTGCTTATGTGAGAAAAGGATAACAATATTTGTATTTTATCTAAAATTAATGCAAACTCTCCAAAATTTATCTCATCATCATTTATAGATGATACCTTCTTAACTTCTAAAGCACATTCCACCAATGCTTTCACACTTCCAACTTCCCGTAGAGTCTTTTTACTGTTTACATCTGCTCGCCAGGACAAGTTCCTCAAAACACTTGCAATGACCTGCAAAACATGAAAGAAAAATAAATATTCCTTTAGTAGGTTATCAGGATTTCCTCCTGGATTTCTGGAACACTATAGAATTCATTAACAGTAGCAATGTTCAGCTGCTGAACTAGCTTTTTTGCTGAAATTCACTTTTTGTTCTATTGCCAGATAGACTGTCCTAAGATTTCAGTATGAAGTTTGATCAAAGATACTGGCTTTTGTGTATAAAGATTTGAAAGCAGGTTTCCTGGCTGAAAAATTGGACCAAAAACTCAGATTTGTGCTCTACTCTGATGTCTGCTGTAGACTTATTATGCAGTCTCATGAGAGAGATTTATATAATCTTTTTCCTCAGCTTTTCCATTTGTAAAATAGGACAATCATACTAACCTGTCCCTCAGAGGTATTGTATGATTACCTTTATTAATGTTTATCAAGCTCTTTGAATACGCTTCGTCTTTTATAATCAGAATAGTTCTCTGTCGAAGACGGGTAGCCATTCAGCCTAGGTTCTAGACCTTGGCAGCAGCTAGACTGAGATGCTTCAAAGTAAAGTGCAACTGTCAAGATAGTGGACAGTCATTAAATATTTAACTCCATCCATTTATGGGCAGCTATAAGCATATATATCCCTCAAAAATATATTAATAGAATACTGTTATCTATGGATCTTCTCATTGTCACAAAAGTATATAACCTTATTAGGTTATGTGATAAAAGCTCATCTGCACACCCACAAAGGAGCCCAGAGAAGCAATGACAGGTGGGAGACCCAAATAATACCCTGCCCCAGCTCCTCCCAGGCCCATCACAGGAGCCAGCAGTCCATCACAGGCCCGTCTACAGAAGCCCAGAGGAGCACAGAGATGCACAATGGCAGGCATTAAGGACACCCAAATTAAGGACTCAGAGGAATGGACACCCTGTCCAAGACACTCCCAAGGCTGTCCCAGGTGAGTCATCAGCTCCGTTATTCAGGTGTGACTGTACCCAGTATCCTTTATTGTAATTTTAACTATTTTCTCAACCATAATTACTTAGCTTCTCAACTAGTGGGGAAATTCTTTTTGTCAACAGTGTCTTAAGATAGAAAGTCAATTTTACTTAAAATTGTTCTTTTATCTATTTTCTGATGATTCACTCAAACTGCAAGGAAAACAGGGTTTTCCTTTCCAAAAGCTGTTCTGATTTGTTTACATTATCTGTTTATTAAAGTGGATTATAATTTCATATTTAATAATTTTAACTTCCACACCAATGAAGAACAGTTCTGTGCTCTCAACTCTCAGGATCACCCTAAGCACTTTACAAGATTTAAGAAAAGACTGTTTAGTTACAAGGTATTTTTCATTACACAGCGTGTGATTCAAAGAAATCAAAACTTAAGAAATT